TCAATGCTGACTTCTGTTGGAAATTTGAGCTGTGTATATACCAGACTAATGTGTATGCACCCTAAGCTATAGAAGTATTATTATCGTACAGATCATTGTTTGCAAACGGGAAGCTCAGAAGGCTGTGAAGATAATTTCTCATGACAATTATTATGTACAGTAGGTGTAGAAATTGTTTGCCCGTGACCCTCGGTAATTGCTAGTGAGGCATGCCTGCACATTTGTCAGGGAGAAAACAAGGACTCTTCATTTACAGAAATAGTACGTTTTTACCAAAAGGTATAAGCTGAACTGTTCCTAAAGTCCCATTTCCTAAGGTTTCTAAAACCACACCGCAGTATGACCCCAGACAGCAGAGCAGAAGTTTTTGTGTGCATGTTAAGAGTTAATGATGAGAGTCTGCCATTATAAGGAAGAACCAAGATGTAGTGTTTTTAATCCTTTTAGTATAAGATGGAGACTGAAGTTTTGTGCAAAGCTTCTAATCTACAGTACTACTACGAGTTTCAAGTAACCATATCTTAATTTCATGGATGATCTTCAGTAATATGGAAAATTCCTTAAAGAATTTCCTTCAGTGGGACTAGACCATCTTCAGCAAGCAGCAGCTTCCACCTGGGACCCTTTTTAAAAATCCCATCATATAGCAACATTAATTTCACTAAACTCATGGGAGACTTCTGCTTGCAAAAGGAGTGCTTGTGTGAGCCAAAGCTATGGGATTAAATCTTTAATATTGCTCTAATAAAACAGGAATGAACAGAAAGAAGCTCACATTAAAAAAGAAAAAAACAGAACCAGGATTGCTTGTGTTCTCGTCCTAGCCCTGCTATAGCTTTCCTTCCAGTGCTCTCTGTCATTTTTTTCTAAATTTTTGCGTTTGTAAAATGGTGGGAAATTGTCAAGTTTATCCCACATATGGTTACTGATCTATGAGGGAGATGCTGAGCTTGGCCCCACCCTGCCTATGTCTATTAAGAAGGTAATGCCTACGCCTGAAGCTGATAAGAAGGTAAATATGTTTGTATTTGTGAAGTGCTACATAGTACGAATTATCAGTTATGTTAAAAATGGTACTTTAATAAGCCAGAGCAGAAAGAGCTTTATTCCCCTAGGAGTGTGGGTAGTTTTCTATGCGTCTTCCTTTTTACACAGATGGAATAAAATGTCTTACAAAACCTTAGATAGCAGGACTGTTTGGCTTCTTATATAGGATATAACGTTATATAGTATATATAATATATTATATACTATATATAGTATAGTAACATTTTTTTTTAACACAGCCTGCATGCTGGTCTTTTTACATCTAGTATAGACAATTAAAAGTGCACGCATTGGTATAAATTGAGCCTGTAACTTTTTTTTTTGCCTTTTTCACTATGCCACAAACGATAAAGGCAGCCAGGTGAACTGAAGACCTCTTTAAACTGCAGAGCTCTCTCTGTTTTCCTGACCCATTTTAATTAAAGAATATATAGCAGCAATCAAAGATTTTTCTGCCAAAGACTGTTCGGCTCCTGACTAAATTTCTTGCATTCCTTTCATTTCCTGTCCAGCTCCTCTGGGCTCCCTACCGCTTTCTCTTGGTTCCAGGCACTGCTTCCCCCTTCTTTGCAGCTCTAGATACCTCCACCTTTTCCTAAAAACAGTATCTTTATTTCTTAAGGGGCAGGACAAAGAAGACATTAATGCAGTCACTTCTCTTGTCCTTCCTACTCTTTCCTGCTGGTCTTGGACATGGTATTATCTTTCTATGCACAGCTTTGGATGTGCAGTTAAGCAGAGCACCCTTCCTTTCTACAGTGCGCCATGTGCACTCCCAGCCTTGAACGGCAGATTTCTGCCTCAAAAGACAGACCTACTCATTTTCTCACCGCCAATCTTTAGATATCCAGGAACATAATTTAAAGTGGAATAAATATGGCAAGATAGGAAAAATTATGTTCCTTCTGTTTATATTGTCCAAGAATGTTCACTGGCTGCAGTGAAGTCTTTCTATTTATCAGTAATTTCATACACGTATCAAGCAGGGAACAGATGCAGTTAGGTATCTAGAAGCAAATAGTCTTTGTAGGTCAAATTGAAGGAATGACTGGCTCTCCAACTTTGTAGGTGATTATGTGTTGGTTACAAAAAGAAAAGTAAATCCTGTAAACAAGCATGTGCTTATCTTTAACTGTGAGAGCAGTACCATTTCCTTAATGGGACTGTTGTCTGGTTAAAATTAAACATGTGAAGAAGATTACGGACTTACATTTCAAACATATCTCCTCAGGGAGAGTAGGATTAATAAACTGTAGCTCTGCCAGTAATACATGCTTGGATTTTCTTGTTGTAACCAATATACAAAATCTAACTCTATCTAATCTATCTCTAATCTGGAATAGGAACTGGGAAATTTTGGTTGTCCTGGTCTGACATCTGCTATTGCCTTCCTGTATGGCTTTGAGAAATTTACTCAGGGGCTTAGCATCTCCATGGTAAACTGGTTATATTAGCAATACAAACAACCTAATCAATACATAGACTAGCTACCCTCCATACCCAGTGCATCCTGTTAAGTATGCTCAATTATCCTGAGCAGGACCCTGCACTGTTATCATGCTTCTGGCCCTACTCCTTCTTTAGATATTCTGGAGGTTAGATCTGATTCTTCTACAGCATATATGATAGCCTCAGTGAAATACAGATGTTCCTGCATTGCCGGCTACCCTGACAGCTCATACAGCTCCATCTTCAAGCACCAAATGAGTAACCAAGAATCACAGCTTTAATTTCTTTTCAGGTCAGATTCTGGGCTTCCTAATTGAAGATTTATTTGTGACCCCTGTGTTTTCAGCTGGTTTAGAAAGCAAGATAGAAATAATTTTACAAATACTATCTGAAAGCTTTATTACCTTTTTACCAACTCAGGATATCTGGAGAGAAGGGAGGCCACATCATTTTCTTTCTGTACATCCTGCGGTTTACTTACACAGCCCATTCAGGAGTCTGAGAAAGGTTTTCCTCAAAGCTTGCTTCATTTCAAGTCAGGAAGTATAAAATTGGTTTCAGTATCCTTAGTACATATGTAGGATTTGGGTGTGACAACTGAGCAACAGATAAGTTTTAAGAATATGCAAGAAGGAGCTGAATACAGTGTCTAGCTTGGAGAATATCTCATAACTCTTAGAAGACAAGAGCTGAGTCAAAACAAAAAGGAAACACACATGCATTTAACTATATATCTCTTTTTCTTCCCTCTGGAAATGACATTCAGACTTTGGTACCCTGGTCCTTGGACTTCCTAACAAATGGGTTCATACGTTACTGCCAAAGGACATTTAGTGGGTCACACTGGTAAGCAGAGTGTTGGCTCCCTCCACTCCTATGCAGCAGCACATGACTGCCAGATACTATTCCCAGATAGTGGGAATCTTGCATATATCATAAATGACTCTGATACAGAAACTCATTATAGCTGAGTCTGGCTGTCCTTTCATATGTGAGACTTCACTGGAGTAAAAGAGGAACTTTGAGTTAAGATCAATAGTAGGATCAGGCCATAGGAAAAGAGCTGAAAAGCCTTATTGATTGTTTACTACATTAGAAATGCAAAAACCCCATAGATTTTGAATGATGCTTGGTGTTCTTAAAAAAGCATAATGATAAAATAATTGCCTGATGCCTTTAAATTAAGTGTTTTCTCTGATAGTCTAAGCCTTTACCTAAGGCTTCTAAATTTATTTCTTAGCCTGACTAGCCAAGTGACCTTTCTGAAGTTATTTATATTGTCTTTATATTTGTATTCAATTACTCAGCATAAATCAGAATGAGAATTCAAGGCCCCCTTCTACTTTACCTTTATCAGCATGCAATGAGCCTGATCCAAAGTCTGCTGAAAACAGCAGATGGGGCCTCACTGACATTAGCTGACTTTGACTCAGGGCGTTATATATACCGCATCAAATTCAGATCCCCTCTGTAATGCATCCCACTTTGACAAGTTGTATAGGTTTGGTGTTATCATATACCTGGAACATATGTTGGAGGTTTCTCCACATCCTTTCTTCTGTACATAAAAGGCTGTTCTTTGTATTTAAGAAAAGAAAAACAAATGTTTTGCTAGCAACAGAATTAATGCCGCCTGATTTCTCACGGATTTATATGCTGAGTCAAAATGCTGCTGACTTTATCCACTGAAAAAACTTCAGTTACCCTTCAGGCCTGCTATAACACCTCCTGCAGCAATATCTTTAGCTTCCTCTCATAAGATCCTTGTCCCTTCTTTGGCTCCCTACTGATCTTTTTTGACCTGTAAGATGACAAAGGGACAGCATGTATTGTAACTAGTCCAAAGCTCCGTGAGAAATTCTCTCCATGGGGAACTCATATGGTCTTTCTCCACTATTCAGCTGCCGATTTTCAAGAAACTCATGGAACCTAATTAACTTTGTGACTTCTGCTCGAAACTGGGATGAAACCAGGACGTCAGACTGGGAGGAAATTGATCACCAAAGGCTCAAAGTCATAGGGTGATGAAGGCAGCTGGTCAGTAGACTCAAAGTTATTATGAGGAGGAGAAACAGATGTGAATAACATAATAAACAGTGTGATTGCATAAGCCTGTTTTCTGCTAAATATTTCAATTCACTGTGCCAACTGTTGGCCAGGTAATTATTGGCCTTTTTGTGGAGGAATTAATACAAAACCACTGCTTTTTTCCCTTTTGTTAATCTATATGAAGGCACGAGAAGCAATTTTTAGTCCAGCCTTGCTTTCCTGCTTCAGCAAGGGTGGCATAAAGTTAATGCCTTTAGGCTTTGCTTTTCCTTTAATGAATTGGCTTCAGAAACTTAGGTCTGATTAGGACTGTCTTTTGGTGCTGTTTTGGCAGACACTACCCTAGAATGGATAGGAAGATTGTACAGTGCCTCCTGTTACGTTTTTTTCATACATGGATAACTTTTCCAAGTGGAGTCTGTAGCTTAATATCATAATCTGTTCCCTGTTTGCAGAGCCCATGTCACCAGTTCTCCATATGAAGCCCTCATGTTTTAACTGGGACAAAATACACCAAGGATTTTCACAAGATTAACAATAGCTTTTGGGACTAATGAAGACTGGCTCCAGCCATGAGGTCACAGCTCAGCTGTGTGATTCTGATTCTTGTAAGTTGAATGGACTCAGTAGGAAAAACCTGTACTCAGCACTTCTCTTTGTCTTTCTCAAAGCTTTATCGCAATGTGTATTTTTGCCCTACAGTATATTGAAGCCTGATGAACATGGTGTAAGATGCTCACTTTATTAAACTATGCTTTCATGCCATTTAATATATTCTTATCTATTTTCTGGGTACACAACCTAAGGAGAAAATATGTCATCGGCCATGCTAAAGCCATTGAAATATCTGGGAAAGAAATCGTCCTCGAGTCTCAACAAATCATCTTTTTGCAGCATTGCATGTTAAGAATTCATTTAAGAAATGATCCTCAAGAGGCCACATGTGAATACTGTGCCATCGTAATCTATCTTTTCCTGACTATTAGCTTGATAATGGGGATTCCTTCGCACAGTCATTATGCATTGTTGTCAGTCTTCAGCCAGTTTTATGACCTGTGTCCAAGATGTACCCTCATTCTCATTAAATGCTTAAAATGATCCATTAATCTCTTGCTTTGTTTCTCCAATTCTTTTTTGGCTCTTCACAGAACTTTAAAATGTTGGTATTTGGTGGATAGCAGGAAACTAATATAGCTAGAGCTATGATCTATTCCTGGTTCAACACGCAGAGATTTTATCTATTTCTATTGTGAGCACCAACTTTTAACAAGTACAATTGTACAGTTGCACTTACGAGCACAGCTTAACATCCAAATGAGTGTGCTGACTGTGTTGTACCCCAGCAATAGCAGTGATAGACCATAATTAAAAAACTCTCTACTGGGTCGTACTGGCAGTGTGTGTATATGGAGGCTGCACCCATACAGTTTAGTTACTGTTGTTATCTGTTAGAATATGTAGTCTGCACCCATGGAAATACTTCTCATCATTTCTTAATCGTAAAGAAGATATGATCTCTGCTAAGACTTGCAAGAGAGGCTTTCCATTTCAAGTTTATATTTCAGTTTGTCCACTGAAGGGTTTAAAAAAACAATTCCCCTTGCCCAGCTTTTAAAACTCTGCTAATTAGAAAATGAAAGTCAATCAGTCATGATTTAAAAAAATGCTGTTGATGCACAGCACATTTAAAGAAGGATGCAGTAATCATTTAAAAAATCATTGTGAAAATATACTAAGGATCCCATACTGGTACACTGTAAATTAGGAGAGGTTTTTATTTTAGTGAGCATGATAATAAAAAGACTATTCTATTTTCAAGCAGTACAATCAGTATACGAAGACAGTGAAAGAAAAAATTGCAAGAACACAACTTCTGTTACTAGTTCCTATTCCTCCTGTCCTGGGAGTGTAGCAATCTGCGTAGACTCTCAGCCCTTGTCTTTTCACGACTGATTGTTAGAGGTCCCTGCTTGATCAGGGAGGTTGGACTAGATGATCTCCAGAGGTCCCTTCCAACCTCAACCATTCTGTGATTCTGTGATTCTGCGATTCTGTACTGGAATTAGAAACAGTCTGCCTGTTCTGCTCTTTATCTGGCGGACAAAGTACTAACAGAGCAAATTGTACGTTATTTCACTTTTCAACATGGGTTGTCACTGCCAAAGTCTGTTGATATGCTGACACTAGTTTGCACTGTCTCGACTAGAGTTTTTTAAATAAATGGGGTGAAAGCGGATGGGCAGGCTCTTTGCAACTCTTGTGTCAGCTGTGTACTGCTACTTCCCCGCTTACCTACATTGCCTGATGATTAGTTTGATCACTGCTTAATGCCTGATCGTTCTTCCTACAGAGCTTGCTTTTTCTTTATTAAACTAGTTCACTGGTATCATGAGTTTCTCAAGCTCGGTTATTTTCTCTTAAGAAAAGAAAAAAGGTCAGAGATACACCTTCCCTAACAGTGTACTTTCCTTGCTAAACTTATGTCCTTGTGTACATACCAAATTAATAAAGTTGTGATACCTAATAAAATGCCTGATACACAGCTATTTTTGTTTATACATATTGCCATCAGTTTACATGTTAATAGGCAAAATGCATGTTTATGGCAATTGTATTTAATCCTACTCTCAATGGATCAGATGTGATCTGTGGGAGGCTGGCCCACTCTCGCTGTTTCTGCTTTCCACCAATGTTTGGAAATACACCAACTTTCCTGAACACCCCCCGCCTCTCCCCAGCAATATACTGCATGCTTCTATGCAACAGCTTGCTCCTAAAACATATCACCTGTGGACTGATGCCATTTGACCTTGTTACTCATCTATCAACCTATTTCTGTCTCTCTGTTTGTCTCAGGTATTTTTAATGTGTCCATCACCATGGTTTCTCATAGTACTTAGTACTCACCCTTTAACTGTTTAGCAAGTCTAGCTTTTAACGTTTCTGTGTTTTGATTAAATCTTCTTTACTTTAAGGCCTCCCCTGAAGGCAGTGGAAGCACATCTGTCCATTTTAAAGAATATTGGCTCATTCTGTTAGACTGTGCAGTGACTTTACTGTCACTTTAACTATTTTGGGTTGTACTTAAGAGATATTAAGAATAAAATTGCTAAATGTGAGCTCGTAAGCGGTGGATGGCACCCCATATCTTTTGAAAGTAAGGGAAGTTTTGCTGTCAGCTTCACTGTGAACAAAATACTGCTTATTTAATTTAATTTTTCCTCCAAGATGATTTGTGATCCTGATTCTTCTATCCGCTCCATATTTGCTAGCGTTGTTGTCTTTAATTCTTTAACAGAAGTCTGATATTTATTGAATATTTTAAATGTGTGGGATTATTGATGGCATGGTTTCCATACACAGATTGGAAGTATTATATTTGTACAGATCCTAGTGTGTTTAAGAACCTAGCATGGCTGGGACTTTTAGTTGCTATTGGATTAATAAATAACATTCACTGTCATCGATGCTGTTAAGGAAAGCTATACACCTGTGTTATGAAGTGCACCCATATTACAACATTATTATGAAGAGCATGGTTCTTATGTTAAAAAAACTTCAAGCACCTAATTTAAAGTTACAATTTCATAAAATGAATCCATTAATATCCAGTTTGGTTTACAAATACAAAAGGTCCACTTTTGGCTCAACACCTTTAAGAAATTGGAGCTGGTTAGATTTGAGGAGCAGATGGGAATAGCTGGCATTTAGCATACTTACAATTTGTTATTACAAATAAGGCTAGATACATGTACTTTGGCATTTTTTAGAAAATTCATGTGCCACTCACTGTCATAGGCCCCATTTTTATGGGCCTTTTATTCTGGAGAGTGAAATATTGTTCATCACTGAACTTTTCTAATCTCTGTGGCAAGTTAAGGATGGCATTGCCCGCCCCAAGAGTTCAAAGCTCATAGTACTGTCTTGCAGTCCACAAGATGTACTTGCAAACTATTTATTGTGGGTTCTTCTATTTTGGTTTTAGCCTTCCGGCTGCATTTATGCCACACATTTAGATTTTTCTTGGCAGCAATGAGAGCTAGAACTGCTTATTTCATAAGCTAGAATGTTAGTTTTCATATATGACAGAATGCTACATTTGATGAAAATCATTTCTCTTTCTTCAACTAGTCCTACTTTTACAGTCCTACTGTTGAATCCATAGAGACGCAGAACCTGTTATTTTGCACTGGTAACACTGGGAGTATACTTAACGGGGCTGCTCATAGCTCTGGTTTGCGTGTTCCTGCTACAGATCTATATTCAATTTTTTTTAATTTCAACCTGCTTACTAATTTTTCCAATTGATTGGCTGGAAATAGCAGGTATATGTAATATATCTTAGTTTACTATTAAAACTGTAGTCACTTAAACAGACCTTTCTAGTTTGATGGGCTACAGCTCTGAAAAGCCCTGAAATATTTAGCTTAGGGTTCTAGGCCAAATGTATATCAACCTGTTATTGTCTGCCCAAAGTTTTGGTTTTATCCTACAAAATATGACTTTTGAGTAGGTATAAGGCCTACCGTCCTGCATATTTACAATGGAAAAAGAACAAAGTATGTACTCTTCTAACTTAAGGGAATATCAAGACCCTCTGCATTGCCTTGTTTTTCAATTTTTTTAGAACTGTGACCCCAGTTTTGAATCTGAAGGAGCTGCGCAGTCTGATTTTTGGCCTTGTGCATAGTCCAAGTTTAACAGCTATACATCAATTGCATCACACTAAAAGTTAGATGTTCTCTGATGGTGAATTGTATAGGTTGTGTACAATGTTTTGTATTTTTATATGTCTGGAAATCTCATATATGAAATAAGAAAAATGTAACAATATATTTTAAAATATTTTTATGTTTTTTTCTGAATTTTTGTTGTTAGCCTGCACCAGCACCAATTCAGATATTTGGGTGAGTAAGAGGTACCATTTTTGCTCTCGATACCTAACATGTTTTAAATACTTCCCTACAAAAACATCCCCCAATACGGCTACTCTGTATGTTCCCTTAGGTGCTGACTTAAGTGAGTTTAGATATTTACTATAGTATTATAAAAGCTGCACGAAATGAACATTCATTGATGTGTTTGATTAGGATACTTTCAATATAAATTTTATCAATATGTAAGTTAACAGAAAAATCATGAGTAACTCCTTTCTTGGAAGAAAGAATTGTTCCCTTGAGCATATTATTTTCTTTTCATTTCTCTTTTAGTTATACACTGCAGGGGAAACAAAAGAGAATACAAAGTTGAATCAATATAATGGCAGGCATAAGAAAAAGCGGTGATTACTGTCTTTTGCTTCTTGGTCCGTAATCTCCATCCTTTTCTAAATAGTTTATAGCATATGATATGGATGCATTAGTGAAGACTAAAGAAATAGAAGTTTGTTATATAATAACAGGAATTAATCTGATTTTCCTTATAAATAGGTAAGTTATTTGCTGTATCTTCTGAGTAGGTCTTTCCTTGACAATGCTGAAAGAAATATATTTTTTCTTTATACATCTTATAGCCAAAAATACAGTTAGAGATTGGGCGATTTCCTTAACAGCAGATTCATGCCCAAGGACCTTTAATTTCAGACGTAAAGTGGCTTGGCTGCATTCATAAACAGAGCCATGAATTCTTTTCCATCTAAACTTATGGTCTTTGATTTTCACTGAATGACTGACCATTTCAGCACGCTCTCCTGATCGTATATAATTCAGTCCTTGACCATGACAAACCAATCATTCACAACTGACCCTTGAAATTAATTAACGCCAATCACTGCTATCAGTCAAGAGACATTCTGAGGGATTTCAAAAGAGGAGACTGATGTTACATAGTGCTAAAGGTAGATGTAGAAAATGCAGTTAGTCAGTGAACTTCAGAAGAACTTAAATTACATTTATAGATTGCTAACATCCATTCTAGTACATGTAGTTACAAGATGGTAGTCATCAATGTATACTAAAGCTGGAACAAGTGCTCAGTGTGAAAATGCTAATTTTCAGATACTTATATCTTGAAAACCATAGGTGGTCTTGGCATGGAAAATATCATGCTACCTCCAAATTTGAATCTCTAAAGCATAGCAGGAGGCAGATCTAACCAGC